TATAAAATCATAGGTAAATTAATATTTTCAAATCACTTCTCAAAGGCTGAAAAGTGGGAGGACAGGCCATGAGACCGCCTAGAAACCCGGCTAGCAAGTGCTACAACAGAAACTCAAAACTAAAACAACTAGACACGACCCCCAAGGGGTAATACAACAAAACAACTCAAACAACAAAACAACAACACACGACCCCCACAGGGTAATATCCGAGTGTCGGACCCCCACAGGGTAATAAATTTGACACCCGGATGCACCGAGGCCAACGGCCCAAACCTAAAACACAAACACAAATACAAAACAAACACAAACAAGACAAACACAGACACCTAATTACTACACCCTCCCCCGAAGAAAGACGATCCCGAACGAGCAGCAACCGGATCACAGCTCGGCCCCTAGCCAAGGAACAGCTCCCGAAACTGCAATTAAGCCTATACAGAAATCGAACCCCCGCCCCCGAACCAAACCACGAGGCGATCTGCCGCCAACCGAGGGTACAGGCAGTTGAGCCACCCCTAACCGGCACACCCCAAGCGCACCTAACACCACTAGGCTACTCGGGGGAGTCGAACTCCGACCAAGCCGCAGCAGAGCCGGAGAAAAGGGGCAGCTCGCAGCCACATACCCTACTCCTGCAGCACCATCACAGGCCACCGGAGCCCCACCCCATCCATTGACCACCGCCATCCCAACGCCACCGCATCGGAGGATATCCCCACACCAGGACTTCGGCAGAGACGCTCCCTGCAAAAGACCGAGGGGAGGCATCAAGGCACCAACCGCCGAGGACGAGAGACCACCTCCCCCAACCAGAGTCCGCCACCTACACCAGGAACCTGCAAGCCACCGGGCTCCACTCGATGGAGAAAGAACGGGAATCCCACCCACCAACCGTCTTTAGCCAATCCGCCGAATCCACCAAACACAGCCAGAGAAGAGAGAGACCGGCATCAGGGACAAGCCAGGCAGTCGCGGCGACCGCCGGCCCGGCCTCGCCGACGCCGGAGGAGGTGAAGCGATCGAGATTTAAGCGGCGCGAGTTAGGGTAAATTTGGGGGAGAAAATCGCAGGAGAGAGTATAGAGATGTAATGTTTTCAAATCACTTTTCAAAAGTATGAAACATAAACTTTATAAAAATATTGACAAATATATAAAAATAATATTAAGATAAAAGTAAAATATAAAAGAATCATAAATTTTATAATTTATTTAAAATAGAATTATTTATTTTTCACTTTTAGGATAGTCTTAAAAATCCATAAACGAAAATGATAATGCATGCATGAGAATGTTAGGAGATGAAACAATAATTTATTTTGAACAATGTATATAGATAGGTACATTCGATCAACCAATGTTACACCAATATATATAGATCGATGAGTACCTTTAATCAATCGAGGATATTATTATTCCTAATAGTTTCCAAGTAATTTTCTTTTTTAAACATTACAACTTTAAAGATATTTTCAAATATTTATATCTCTTGTGTCATATATACAGAGAGAAAATATCTCTTGTGTCATTAATAATAATAGTAGTAATACAATGTTTTGTAGTATTAGTGTATTACACTTGAGCTATATATGAATCTTTGAGTTATTTTAGGTCATCTAGAAAATAAAGCTAGGGGGGCTAGAACAGTTAACGAACCGAATTGTATTCGTATGATTCGTGAAACTCGAGTACAACTTGCTAATATAATTAAACGAGCTAAGTTATAATAATTATTCAAGCTAGTTTTTTTAATGAGTTCAGTCAGACTGGGCTTACTATATGGGCTAACTTCGAGTTCATATTTTTGTTCATTTATTAAATGATCTGGCTGAGTCGACTCATTTATTAATGAGCACAAGCTTGAATATGAGGTATTTGACTTGACTCAAATCGAATGATATATCTAGAGGACTATATAATTTTTAATACCTCTCTCGTATATTTAATATATTTCCGATCATTTAAACAAATATTCAGAGAGTAAGTATAAACATAAATGAATATAAACAAAATTCTAGAGGCTTATGTCTCCACTTAATCAATAATACAAAAGATTGAACATTATTATAATATTAAAAATAAATATATAAGTAAATATCATATTTGTAAATAATTTATTAATTATATGCTTTTACAATACTTAGTTAACACAAGAATACAATGCTTTTTATTATATATATATATTAAAAATTTAAAAGTTTGGGGGACATTGCCTCCCTAATTACAACATAGGTCCGCCTCTGATATTACATACTTTTCCCTTGGTTTTATTATAACTTATAATCAGGGTCTCATCTACCCACACTAAATGATCCATATATATATGAAATTTCTCTAATCTGAAGGTTAATGGCTCTGACTGATGTTATTTCCTGTTTCTGTTTAATATATATTACTCTTGGGGGTTATTATTCTGAAATTTGAGTCTTTGAAGGATGAATACAATGTACTTGAATTGCTAGATATGTGCAGCGCAGATGGAATTTTCAAATGAATCTAACGTAATATATATTGAATGCCATGGTATCGATTTAAAATTCCTGAAATCGTTCCTGAAATTCCATTTAATATTTCAATGAAGTAACAAGTGTTCAAATAACAATTTTCTTGTACATAAAATGTAGCAGTAGCATTATTACACCAGCTTGCGAATATGGCACCATAACTACCGAACCTATAACACACACAAATACATCAATAATCTACAATGCTCAAACTGTCACTCATGATAAAAACACATCTTTTTTTTTTTTAACACAAATTTATTTCTACATTTTTTCATTTCCACCCAAATATATCTCATGATCTACCCTGTCATAGAAATGGCTCTCTGCAAATTCAGAAAGGCTTTCTCATACCTCACAAACCCCATGAACCAAAACTCAAAATCATCTTGGCTCACTATCTCCATGTACTTCTGTGCCGGGTTGTCTGCATTCTCCCTTTCGTAAGCTCCTTTTATCTTCCTCACCGGAATTGAAAGCTGCAAGACAATTGAAACCAAAAAAAAAAACAACTAACAAGACATAAAATCAAACTAGTTGCATACGGCTTATCATCAATGTAGCGATTACAACAAACGAACCAACTAAATAACCAAGTGTATCAAAAAGCTGATCAACCTTGTAAGGTATTTTAAGGATGCCCCCAGAAGGAGATTGAACACTAATGGATCTTTCACTGCAAAAGCAAACTTTTTGAGTGGATATGAACAAAATCCCGGCAATCGGCCCGCTTGTTGTGGATAAATAGCACTGAGAAGCCTTTAGCAATTTTTCCCCATGGCACAACCCAAATATGTCTCTGAATATATTCTCTCTGCCTCCATTTCTTATTATTTTGGCACCAACACTCAGTTTCCCCTTCACTGTCTCAGAAAGCCTTGGCCCCATTCTCACTGCACAATATTTTCAATTCACCATAAATGAATGAAATTCCCAAAAGAAAAAAAAAATGTGGAGTAACAGAAACAAGAAAGATATACGTATGCACCGTGTTCGCGAATTCTGTAAACAAAGCCGGTTCCTTTTCTCTCGAGTTTCTTGATCTTGTGGTTCTTGCCAGCTGCTGGCCTGCCACTGTCTGCAAATTTTTCACAAGTTAAACAAAGAAAGGAAATGAAACTCTTAATATTCATTTTTATGAGGAAAAACATAGTTATGTTTCTCAATTTAGTTAGCAAGTAAAGATACCAGTGAAGGCATAAGAGTGATCTGAAGAAGATGGGCTTTGGGAGGAGCTGAGAGGTTCTTCAGACAATGGAGGAGATGGTGATGATCTGTCTGAGGTTGCTGTTTCTAATGGTCTTGTCATAAAATCATTTTCAAGCTCATGATCATCCTTTTTCATTTTCTCCTTTTCTTCTTCTTATACTCACTGTGCTTGAGCTTGAGCAAAAATTATGAACAAGAAGAAACTGAAGAAAGTTGATTGAGTGGTGTAGAAAAAAGAACAAGAAGACACAGAGGAAAGTTGGAGGAAAAATAAAATCTTGAAATATAATTATTTTGTATAATAATAATGAATATAGATTATTAAATGTGCAGACTGCGGTGTCCATTAAATTGCACATATGGCCTGTCTGGAAAATGGTCGGTGACCCCACGATGAAATATTCATATTCATTACACAGTTAATTGCTTATGAGTTAAAACACTTAAAACTGTTGAAGAATCCAGGTTTAATTTTTATTTTTTTTCCTTTTTTTCTATTTTCAGGAGAAATATCTTTTTGTTTGTTCTTCTTGGTTAAAAAGGGATGACTAAAAAATAAGTAAGTAAACGTAATTACAAGTTTTCCATTGGCAATTTGGGCTGACATTTCCCGGAAAATTCACGTTTCAAATATGGCAAGCGCGTATTAGGTTTAAGGGTCCCATCATTAGATAATAAGGCAGTCAAAATATTAATTTTGAAGTTGCACAAGTTGCAGTAGGAGTGAAAGAGCCGAAGTCAAGCCGAATTCGAACTTATGTGGTACTCGAATGTTCTTGTTGATTAAATAAGCTAGTAATTGAGCTCGAATTTGAACTTGGCTCGTTTATTAAAATTGACAAATCGAATTAAATATTTTTTTTTTCGAGTCTCAGCGAACTTTATTGAGCCTAGTCATACCCAACTCATTAACTAAACGATCTTTCGACGAGCTCGAAGTCGACCTTTTAACGAGCTGAGTCAATCTCAAGCATTAACGACCAAGTCGGCACTAGTTGCAACATAGTAATAGTAATTAATATTATTTAAAAGAAAAGTAATGTTGTTTGTGCCAAGTGTGTTTGATTAACTACTTCAAATGGCTTTAGTGGTTTAGTTGGTGTTAGTTAACCTGCAAAAGTAAATCACAAAAGGGTTTTAAGCATTATAAAAGATTGGAAGTAGGACAACATGGCAGATATATATCAACCTCATTCCTTAAATTGCGAGCTAAACTACTTTCAAATTAGTTAAATAGCCTTGTATTGGCAGACAAACACATCATCCTTAAAAGGGTAATGCTAAACTTCAAGAAAATACCTGCACTTTGTATGCATTATATTGTTTCATTTAAAAATTGGAGGACTATTTCCAGTTAAAAACTGAACTAGTGCTCACTTGGACATAAGAAGAGTTGTAAAGAAAACTAAGCCAACTCAGATCAATAAATAATACCAAAAGAACACAATTTTTAATCTCCATTTCACAATCAAAAGACGGTTTTCTGCAGTAAACCGGTAAAATAAAACTCTGCTCTAGGAGACATAAAAGAAAGCTGATACATATTGCCTCTCTCAAACTTAAACTACCATTGAAACCCCAGCTCAGCCCACATTCTGCAACATTTTCAACCAATAATACCACTGATAAGCTGCCAGACATGGGTGTACAAAAATTTACCAGCTTTTTTCTTGTTGCTGTTGAAAACAGAAGTGAGACTTACCTATTTGGCAGTAACTTCTTTGTGTGCTTTATAGGAAAGAATCACGTTCCATATTAAGGAAATAAAATTAGCAGCAAGGACCTGTAAAAAAGATTTTCGCAACAAAAACATGTCTTTTTAGGTCAAACAACAGCTTTCTTATCCTTGTTAAAGAGAAATGTGCAGCTCATCATCATAGTTCATACATTCACACTATAGTAACTGGTCAAATCCGGGTACTTGTGACGATATTTTTCTCCTCAAGAAAACAGCATAACCCATTTCAATTTGTTTATAGGCGCACACAAGTAAACCAAACCTGAAATTGTTGGGGCACAAATCGAAAATTGAGGAACTGGAAAGGTATCCACAGCTGCCAATTTGCAAGAACCGACGAGAACCACTCCTACGATTTATAATACAAAAGTTAAGATTAATATGTGTGTGTGTGTGTGTGTGTGTGTACATATAACAGAAAAATATCCCAAAATATAATTAAATCTAGTAATTATCATGTCGACATGCCTAGTTTTACCTGTTTCAGTTTTGGATGTAAATTACCTGTTTCAGTTTTGGTATTACATCCGATGGCCTCCCCTCAAGAGTAATCAGAATAGAAAGAAAAGTTCCAATGAAAATGGGCGCGAAAACAAACTGCATCATAAAACATCGAATCAGTTCCAGTAAAGAGGTTAACTATTGTGTATTTAATAAAAACAGTATAGAATAAAAAGGATTATAAAAAAAAAAAGATGTAATTGGGCTGCTGCAGCATGTCACCTGATCAAGAATAAGGCGCAAGAGAGCACCAGAGGCTCCGGGAGTCGTAACCAGTTTACTCAAATACAAATACCTAAACATGCAAGACAAAAAGTTAATATTAGTTTCTAGTTTATGCTATTAAGGCTTCTCCAGCATTCTATTGAATGCTACTTGTGGTTAAATGAAACCAAAATGCGAATTGATTGATATGTACATATTATAACATATGTAACGAAGTTATGCACCATTCAAGGTGTGATTGCAAATATTAGGCATTCAGAACATCACCAGAAATGCAATGTTGGACCAACCAAAACCAGGCCCAACAGTGTGAACAGAAATGTCCGCTTCACGTCAAGAGATGGTACTTGATCAATCACAAGCTGAGGATCACAACAAATGAGTCAATTGCAAGCATGATAGAACAATTAAAAGGTTAAATAAGCAGAAAGTTGAAACTTAATCAAGTTCAGACTTCAGATACAGTACAAGCTAATATATTAGCAACCTTGGTGAAAGATATTCAAACGTCATAGTAATAACAACTGGTTTACAAGCTGCGATTCAAAGTGGAAGCAGACATCATCAGTTTTCAGGCCATGACTAAAAGATGACAATAAGAAAAGTATTTAAGAGTTCAAGTGTCTTTTTAAAAGCATGAGGTAGACCATTTCCAAATAAAGACACCATATATGTGTACCACAAAAAGTTGTCTGTCTTTATTAAGCAGTTCACTAGTAAATTTTAACTGAGGATAAAGAGATATTGGCTCCGGTCCTTCGTCAACAGTTTAAACTGAATAATCAAGATTGGGCATATGAATTACTAAAGCGATTGTGTCATCTCCTCCATAAAACATACAATCCTTCCATAAATTACCAACAGTAGCAGTCAGAAAAGGAAATTCATATAAACGTATATGCATTATAATGACTTGAACACTATGATTAAACTCGTAACTCAATGACTCCTGTAACGAAACATAGCCAGTCTTTTTTTCTTGAAATTTGCATTTATGCTCGCCGAAAAATTCATCTCCTCAGACGTATTGAGAATTTCTTGAGTTAGAAATCTTTCTGTAGACAGTAAGAACTGAGAACTCGACAAAGTATCCAACTTCAATACCTATTGCTTATTTGCTTTCAAGCACGTAATCAAGAAAGGAAGAAAAAAGCTTTTCTATTTCTCCTTTCCCATCATTCATTCTGGTCAATTACATGCTCTTTATCACATGCAATAGACAGTCTACCTGGCAGATCATATCTCCAACCAAAGTTAAGAATGCGGATGTAATTGCTTTTGTCATCACAGGATGCTTGGCAAGGAGAGACAGATACCTGCACAAAATTTTAGGAAACAAATTAAACGAGCAAGTGGCACTTTTACAAGAGAACGACAAACGAGCACAGCATATTCACATGTATTATCATATTCTTAAGCTATTAATTGACAATCCATTGGCAAAGAATCAGCATCTCAACACGTTGCTAACCTCCTACTGGTTTTCCTTCGAGGCCTCACAACTCGCATAACGAACTTGCACAAATGTTGAAAGCTCAGCAAACCTAAGCAGGCCTGATTTTTTTATATCTCATCTATATTGTTACTATTTTATCTCATTCAAAAGTTCCAAAGTAACAATCCCAAAGTTGCAAATGCACAGAAAACAAAACAAAACAAAGAGTTCTTTAACATGCATTAACTCAATTGGGGAAAAACAAAAAAGGCCTAAGCATACCAAAGAAGTACATATAAAATATCTACCATGAAAGCAGACCCGAACCATTTCCTCCACCGCCACCACTTCCACCACCACCACTTCCACCACCACCACCAGATCCTCCGGCGCCGGAGCCTCCAGAACCACCACCAGCTCCGCGGCCGCTCGAAACTCGAAAAGAGCGAATACCAAATTGCACAGGCCCGAACCCGGTACCACCAAACATCTTAAAACCGGCGGCCGACGCCGGCGATATCCTGCTAGGAAACCCTTGCGAGGAAACTGTGTTGATTCCAAAAATCCTGCTTTGGGCATTGAGATAGCTTTTGGGTGCTCTGCAAAAGCTTGCCAATGGTCTCCGGAGACACGATTTTGTTATCAGATTTGCTAGGTGCGGGGCTGCCATTGTCGCTTCTCTGCTTCCAATGGATAAAATTATGAACTGGCAATGTTAGAGTTTTCAGGTTTAAGGGTTTTAGAATATATATATATATATATATATATATGAAGAGGAGTAACAAATCATTAAATTATATTATCATGTATTAAATTTTATTATCCCTCCAAAACATTCAATTTTATTAGTTTTCTACATTAAATTTTATTATCCCTCCAAAATTTTCAACATTCAACTTTAGTAGCAAGTAGCTCGTGCAATGCACGGGATATAAGTATTAATGAGTTATTTCCACAGAACTTGTCCATTAAGTAGCTCGTGCGATTCACGGGAGATATTAAATGAGTGGACCATAGGGCTTGTCCGTTCAGACCTAAAAAATAATAGAGTTTGATCATCTATTTTTTTACATCTTTTCATCAACGTCATTTCTTTTGTCGGAACATTAAACCTGAGTCTGGTAGCGGTAGCCCGTAAATTAATTAATATATTATCTCGCTCACATGTTTATAATAATATAAATTTGATTTCATTATATATATTTATTCATTGATATAAGAAAAATAACAATTTTACGTAATCTTGTTCCTCGTATAATACTTATATTATTTCATTATAAAATTTATTGTAGTATAATGTCATTATTATTATAAGTTATAAATGTAATCTTCTTCTTCTTTTTATTTTATGTAATTAAAATATTTAATGTATGTTCATATTATTTATTAATGTAATTAAGTTAAATTATGTAAATAAATTTAAAGTAAAACATTTTGTACATTACAAAATATACACAAATATTTTTTTAGAATTTAATTTTTTTACAATAAATAACAGCTTTGAAATTCTATGCAATTATTAAAGCCGATTAAATCTGCTTTATTAAAACCGATTAAATCTTTATTTATAGGCTTGACATTAAAACCGATTTTATGAGATTATTTTAACTAAACCGATGTTATGGAATAAAACAAATCTATAGTTACATTTGACTTTTCCAGCAAAGGTAAAAAAATCGGTTCTGATTTTTATCTCATAACAAATCTTTATTGTCAAGCTATAAATACCAAAATAAATCTTTAATTAATGTCATTCTATTTCCAGTAAACATTAATTACCTTTGACTTTTCTTTATACTAAATCTGGTAAATGTGATACCTTTTAATATAAGTATTAGCACTGTCAAAACGGGCCATGGTGTTAGAGTAGTATACCCAGCGTTCCAATCTAATTGGACGTATTCTACTTGTAAATACAGTCTATTGGAATTATATTATGAATAAGGCATTTCTTTATCTTAAGAGAAAGCATTTATCTTATAATTGCACTTAAGATAAAATCCCTAGATCACTTATGGTTATAAGGTATGGTTGCGCATAGAGATGGTGATCATGGAACATACC